AACACTGTCCCATTTTAACCAAAAATACAACCTGTCAAAGATATCTACCATACCTTCCTTGAGAGTGGAACTCCAATCCCATTTTGTCCTTTTCTTTTGCATAACAAGCAGCCAGGTTATGTTTGAGGATTTTCATTTGAACTCATTTGTATATGTATCAGTGAATAAAGGAACAGCAGCAAAAGGGAGTTCGTTTTCTCAATTGAAAGGAAATATACTCTCGAAGAATCTTAATCTGATAATTTGGGGTAGGCTTAAACCATGCACTACTACCCCCACTCAGTTAATGTATGGTATGCTGGGTCAGGACTCAAACAAGATTTTAACATCCTTTTCTTTTTCTAACAAGGCCAAGCAATATTAAATCCTCCTTACCAAAACATGCACTCAAGGTATAAAACGTCACGTGCATATTTGCAGTGAACAATGCCACAACGCTTGAAATGAATCTGTTCTATCAGTATTGCTTATTGTGATCTGCATCAACCTAATTTGTTTTAATATGCTAATTTTGGAACTGATTCTGAAACCAAATTTGTCATCAAAATTTACTTCTGAGGACCTACATTTCCTTTCCTTTGTTCCTTTTGTTTCCTTGAGGATGGCGGATGTTGTTACACAAAAAACGAGTGAATCTCTCTTGGTATTATATTCCTGCACGTGTTTTTCATTGAATTCTTTTTTCCCTTCAAAACTAGGTGTTAGATGCCAAGATGGTTTGGATCGACCGGCTAGGTTTTGATATGCGCCTCAGATCTACCCAAAATGACGTATTTGAGGTCCAAATTCCTTTCCCTAGAGAAGTGACGGATGAGAAGGCAGCAAAATCAGCGTTCAATGGTATGTCTCAACTTGCTTGGGAAGTGGAAAAGAATGTCCAAGTTCCAGAATTCACGAAGGTAAGACAACTGAAGAAGATAAGATCATAGGTGGAAGACTGCAATTATTTTATGTCTTCTCCATGTTTGTGTTTCCAACATGAAATGAACTTCATTCTTGTATTTTCTTTTTCCTTTTTGTAACTTTTTGGTGAGAAGAGCCGAAGGATTCATAAGTCAATTTTGTACATCGAGGCGAGTCTAATATATGGATAATTCATGTTCTTGATAGGGCTGTCCATGGGTTGGGTCGGTTCGGTTCGGTTCGGTTCTGAAGATACCCGAACCGACCCAAAACTTTCAGGTATTTAATTACTAGACCCGTAGGGTCCAAATATAATTATGGAACTGTTCGG